TATATACAGTGTGTGTTTGTGTGTGTGTGTGTATGCAAACCTTCGTGCAGGATAAAATGACGGGTACTGATATCCTGTACTCATCGTCGTGTATACGCATTCTGATCAGCATGATCCATTACAGTTTTCATCTGTATCAAACGTGTACCACATGTGTCTCGAGATGAATTCGAGTGTTTCTACCGTGCATGCATATATTGTGTGTGATTGCTTAATGTATACTGCGTAATACGTCCCAATGCGATAGCCAATCAATCCGTCGCCATCCGGCGTAGTCATGACAACCGATCCAAAACTATATCATCAAACACTGCACTTATACTAGAGGTGAAGGGACACTACACGTGACTACAGGACAAGCACATGTGCTTTGCTCACACACAACTTATCTGTTGTAAACGTAGGCTCTAATCTGGTTTCTCGGTGGAAGGTCTTTTTACGCTTAACAACTGAGGCCGATCCCCTGAAGACGTTACAGTTTGCGATCATTCTGTCTATCATCGACTCATTTGTAGATTACGTGTACCAGAATGCGCTTATACGCACTTCCTTTGCAAAGGTGTGTTGGCTATGTATGTATGTGTTTCGCGCCATAGATAGGAATATATATATATGTATATATATATATATATATATATATTATATTTCTATATTTCTATATTTCTATATTCATATATTTATATATTTATATATATTTAAATTTATACATATACATATATATATATATGTATATATATATATATATATATATATATATGGCTCCAGACGCACTGTGTTGAAACCGGAAGCACACGCATGGCATACCACTTTGCCTGGGGTTATTCGCACAAACAATACGAAATTGCTTGTCCAGCATCTCTACAAGCCAATCATTTCACGCCTACTACACACTGCAAATTACTGAAATGGTTTGTATTTTACACACGTACACGTATTGCTCATATAGTACAATTGCTTGTATAATATATTTATATTTATATATATATATATATATGTATATGTATATATATATATATTATTATATATATATTATTATATATTATTACATATTATTATATAATATATATATTGCTAGTTCACGCTCAGCTAGTATTAAACCAGCCATGCCTCTTCCCTACAGGCGGTCAATGTCCCTGCTCCAAGTCTGTGTGTGGCTAAGGTGTTGTTGGGTACAGTTCATGTGACAGTCAAGGGAATGCGTGCTGCGTTGACCATGGACACTCGCAGGCGAAAGCACATCGCGTTTAATGGTGAGTACCAATGCCCCACAGAAAAGGGCTTACTTTGTCCTTGAATATGTGCAAGTGTATGTATGGGATACATACGATCGTATGTTTCACATAGCAGAAGGGGTGACCCTGTTCTTGCCCACGCACAAGTATCTGTGCTATGCATTTGCGTCTATCTTGTACCTACCAGAAGCGTTTGCCTTGTTACCTAACAAGTGTAAATGAAGGTGCGTTGATGATTTATCGTTATGCACAGATCTAACGGATATGCTGGGCGTACTGATGTTATCTGAGGCGTGCACCACAGTGTGTCGGATTCTGACCCGTAGGCGTGTCTGAAAACGTTATTAAGTGCGCCGGAGAGTGGGAAGGAAAAAAGAATCACAAACGTAAGCCCGTAAAACTCTAAACGTTACTATTTCCATTGCAGGGTGGGTAGAAAAGATACGTATCGTAAACCCCTAAAACTCTATACGTTACTGTTTGTATCGGAGGGTGGGGAAGAATGGTCCATAAACGTAAACCCCGAAACCCTACACCATAAAACCCTCAACCCTGTGAACACAATACTAATCTAACGGATTCGTTCTTGTTGTGATATGACTACAGGCACAGACGGGAGTGTGTCTGATTCAGACTCTGACTGCGACAGCGACGAGAATGAAGTGGTGTTAAACAATGCTACCACTTGCGCAGTGATAGTACAGCGCATGTGCACCCACAACCGCACACTTGCACTACTAAGTATAGCCAAATACGAGTATCCAGGTATATATGTATATGTATACATGTATGTATGTA